AACCGTTGGAGACTATTGAAGCAATCCAGGAGATGTTGTAATATGAAGTCCGGAGATGACTCGATAGGACGATACTTTCAATTAAAGCGATGATGACAAGGAGGAGATGGCTGACCATGATACACAAAAGCCTTAGGTGACTGAGGACACAGGGACAGTCCCTATTTCTACCACGACAATACAAACGTACACGATAGAGGGAACAAGTCTGGAATACTGCTAGTGAACAACGTGTTCTGCAACTGCTTCCAGCCAACCTTGAAAACCACTGCTGCAAATGCCCGTAAGTGCTCAACGCAACAGCACAGTTGAGCCGAGACGCAGCACTGTACTTGCGTACACGCCGTGTACTACACGACAATAAGGAGAAATGATGAATAGATCATGTATCGCGCAGACAACGTTTTACGCATAGAAGTTTTACGCGCGAAGTGCGTAAAAACGACTCATTACACGTTGTGCAGTGCGTAATGTGTACTACACTAGTCACTAGCGGCTAGTGCTTTACACAACCGGAGTGCAATTTCAGTAGAAGTCTATTCATGAATCGATAACGGTCAATGCCGTTTGTGCAGAAGTGTTCGTAGACAATAAACTTTATTGTGCTTTAAAAGCACGTGATTACCTAGCGGCCGTGCTAAAGTTCCGCACTTGTGAACATTCCGCAGCGGAACGAACTCCCTACCGAGAGGTGCTAGATCCGACGACCCCCGCCCGTGAGACAGCAGTGCTACTTCGCACGAGCCCACGACATACCGATGGATAGAATGGGTATGGCGGAAAATTTGAATGACGACAGGTGTCACAAGATAGTGCTATTTTGGTGGATGAGGCCTGTCTGTATGCTCATTGAGAATTTATCGCCCTCCTGCACCATTCGAATGGGTGTCTGCAACATCATCAGTGCAGTCATGGTCACAAGTTGCTCGAAAGATGGACTATAAAAGCAAGACGAGCCTCTGCCTCCTGCCAGGAAGTTCCTGGTCTCCACATCTCTCAAGTGACCGCCGAGATTCCGTGCCATTCTGAGGTCCAGGATCTGGATAGCACAGTCACCTGCTCGACCACTCGATGTGACTCTAAATCACGTCTTCGGGCACAGCCTGTGTAAACAATCGAAGCGCTCGGATGAATTCGAGGATTCCATAAACGTCGAGCCAGGGAAGCCAACTCGGGAAAACTCTTTACTGAGTTGCAATGGACGAGCGGCCTATGATCACTGGTGCAAACCAGGGGGATCGAGATAAAGTCACTACCCGGATTTGAACCGGGGTTGCCACGGCCACAACGTGACGTCCTAACCACTAGACGATAGCGACTATACATTACAAATTCCTAGACGGCTTCCGAGGGGCTTAACATCTACTCTTACAACATACGTGTAACGGATTCGTTCTCATCGCTGATATTCGTCTTCCTTAGATTTCTGTTGTGATCCTAAAAATTCCTGCTTGTGAAAAATCCCCGAAAGTTGTAACATGAAAACCACTTTGAGGATATCAAATTTCCGAAACTTAATGCAATCGCAGAGACTTGTAAAATTTGGGGTAATGACTAGATAAGACGCTGTCGCAGTCTTCAGATCGGCCTCTGCACCAAGGAAGCCAATCCAGCGAGTCGTTTGGAATGCAGAACGTGCTAATCCTACGTCGGTCGGGTCCGTTTCGTCACGAAACTTTCGTGTACTGTACTCCCTCGAAAGAATGGTATTGGAATGAAGCTGATGAAGTGGAACGTTATCGATCATCCCCAGCCGGAACGGCTGTATGTGAAACTGAAATGCCAATCCATGGATTTCATCTCACACAAGCGATACCATGGCTTCCCCTTCGGCTCACAATGGGGCCGATATGCCAGAGATACGAACATGGACTGGGAAAGTGGCCATCATTCACATTGGCATAAAATCTAGCAAGCATAATATACATGGCATATCGGCCCCACAGCGAAAGTGGATTTCCTAACGGTATTAAAACAGGAGTCTTCAAGTACTCCGACGAGAGTTGGAAATTTTGGAGTCGATTGAAATTTCATAGATGCGAAACCGGAAGTTCTACGGCTGGAACAGATATGCCTATTCTACACCCGTAGTAGGAGATAACATCCGTCCCGCTTATCTTCGCGGAATTGATCATCAATTATTGATGATGATATGAATAAAGCTCATGCTATAAACTATGTTCGATAGGTGTAGATGAGCGAAGATGGTCTGCAGAATGGACCAGCTCACTGAATATGTGAGCGTTATAAAGCCCAGACACCTTACTGCAACCATCGTTCCTTCCCCAAAGAATATCCCTGTGATCACTGAACAAGCCAAGGACATGAGCTGGAGAAAAGGATATACCCCGAGACAAGCGTCCTCAAGATGACCAAGACCAGGAGTTGTCTGTGAATCGATATAGCTTTACGAAACACTGACCCGCTATCACGCTTGAAATCATACATACGTAAAACAGTTGAGAACTGTTGGAAAAGGATCATCACTCGGTCCCTTGCAAGAGCTCGAGCACCTGTGCCTGCACCTCCTCAGGCAGTGATGCTATCTGCTCTGGCGACAGGTTACCAAGCGCGACCATGATACTTTCGGTATCAGCCGAAACCTTGGAAGCAGTGAGGGCCGATATCTCCCGGGCCAGATGATCAAGCTTGTTGTCCGTAGGCGCCTCTGGAGTGGTGGCTGGGAGCTGTGAAAAGAACCATCAGAAGGATCTCGACAGTATACTGCAATATCCCACCACTGTTTGAAGGCCAACTGCGCCTGCACTCTGTTGAGCATAGAAAGGCATAGGTTGTATTGCCGACTCTGAGGCTGCCACTGCACCTTGTGTCCTGATCTGTTGCAACCTGTCTTTCGCTAAGCTCACCTGAAAGATGAAATAGTTGCCCATTATGAGCACTTGCAGGAGCCTACCTCATCTGCAGTAAGAGGTAGGAGACGTTCTCCTGTAGTCACACCTAGAAGATAGTGTGCATGGATGAGAGCTAATGATAGGTTAGGGTCCTCATTGAGAAGCTCCTTTGCCTTATCAGGTGCCTAACATCACCATACTCCCTAACGCTGTACTTCCAATCTCCACTACATGATAGCAGAGATGATGGACTCGATGGAGCGTATAGAGCAACTGAGTTGCTGTTAGATGATTAAGAAGGTCGTCAGCCACATCCATAGCGTTACGAGGCTCTTCCTCATGGGCAGCAGATCCCAACGAGGGATGCGCCTCTTCCGCACGACCCGGACCGGACATCGAGTCGAAAAGCTGATACTGAAGTGAATCGGTCGCGAAATGCATCACTGATATGGTGACAGCAGTATTCCCTGCAATCACTCATGCTCAACAGCACTTTCCTCATACAGTGAAAAACATCAACTACAAAAAGATTGTTCACATGAGCGGCTTTCTAATTTTCGCAATGGAAACGATGCTATTGGTAGGTCTGTATCTCACGATGAACAGGAAAGGCCTGTCGCAGACCATACTGAAGGGAGGATCGATGGGCATCGTAGTAGACTTCACCATAACCGCTGCCGCCCAAGGCTCAGTACCTTGTTCATCCCTTGGGGAATACAGACTCAACTCGCAGGCCCGAACTCATCTAACTGCAGTCTCCATCCAATACCAAACCCATACCAATCAAACTTTCTTGTCATATTTCGCGCACCGTATTCCGTTCTCAACTTGGAGGAAAAAGGACTGCCTTCCTTGTTGTGTTGCATATCTCCACACCAGACGTCGAAGCCACGCCGCACGATATCGTCGACATATACTCCCTCATACGACAAAGCTACACTAGCATCGTAGTCATCATGACCAGGAGAGACCACTACCAGCTTCAACTTATCATCGACGTAGTAATGACAGCCTTTCTATCTATTATTCCCATATTGGTTCCGCCACCATGATGTCAATCGTTAGAGGCGCTTCTCCTTGTAGGGATTTAGAATCAGCCTCCCGAGCGAAGGTCAGGAGAATTCAGACAGAAGCTCATCCAGCAAAACAACGGTGAAAGCATCAATCAGATGCATAGGAACCCTATTCATAAAATAATGATGCAACATCCCTGAAAGTGGAAATGCCGACACAATGTCCCCGCCAGGATCACCAATTGAGCCAACTCTGCCAAGTCCAACACGATGCAATATTAGTCGAGCACGTTATGAAAACTCATTCGAATTGTAGTTAGATGAGCTGCATAACCCTCTGTTGCCTAGGAGCATGTCAATCAGCGTTCAACCGAAAGGCTTTTCAAACGTGATATCATTCGCTCAAACAGCAATGGGTATTACGACAGGTCATCACTTCAATGCCTCCACCACTTGAGTAGCAGCCTCATCCATATCCAGTTCACGAAGACTTTTGAAGGGACGAGGCATACCCACTAGGGATAGGACCTCTTTGCCTCCATGAACCTACACAACAACGGCATCGCGCATGGAGGTCGACCTTTGAGTATGACCTTCACTGCAAAGGTCCCCTTCCTCGGTTTGGCCAAGCCGTTCTCGTTAACTACTACGGTAGTCCCTGGACGACGCGATTCTAGCGCCACACCAAGGGCTGCCGCACTGCGTTTGAAGATACCTCAGCTCTTGCATGCCTCGATCAATACATCCGCCTCTTCTGGATCCTAAATACGGAAACCTCCGAGAAGACAGTGAACAACGACATCACTCACCACTTCAATTGCCGCAACAGTAGCAGCAGCTTTGGCTTTGGCCTTACCCTTAGCTTTCGCCTTGGGCTTCACAATCGCCTCCGATCCTTTCTTCTTTGCTGGCGCTATAGTGACGAAGCAAACTGAGCTACTACAGTAGACATCCCTCCATAACGCTGAGCCAACCCAACCACGTAGAAACTTTATCATTCTCGCCTTCGGCCACGACAACGTGTGTGGACGTAGGCCCAACACACATAGCTTTGAGCACTGCCTCTACTTCCTCTGATGTAACCTGCTCTATCCCGTGCAGCCCTCCAGGCTTGTCCAACATCGCCAAGATGAAGGCATTGGCGGTTTGCAGCTGCGAAAGTTGCCCCATCACACTGGCCTTAGCTCTGGCCAAGGACGACTCATCAACCTGTTTCATCCCTCGAATCACCCGTAGGGCCTCTGTCACACATTGGGCGGCATCAGTTGGATCAGTATGGACCGCCACCGTCCAATGCCCCGCACCAGTAGAAGGGCGATCTGGTACCAAGAACGACCCCCGAGCATCGTATGTAAGTCGAGTTTCCTCCCTCAGCCTCTTAAAGAGTGCTGCGTTGAGGATATCCTCTGCCAGTAGGGCTACCTGCCACCTTGGGCGCTCCTTCATACCTCCCCCTAGGAGTACCAAGGCTCGATCGTCAGCGACCTTCGGTAAGCTCACCCTCTGCGGAGCATCAGTCTTTGAATCAGCCGCATTAGGCAGCGTTGCAACAGTCTCGTCATCCGCCTGTCCTTCCACCATTTTCGATGATCCAAAGAATCGACCAGCTGCCGAGAAGGCCTCCTGAGGGCTGTCGAAGTCGCCGACCATATCAATCTCCAGCTGTGAGTCGTCGCCCCAAGATAGCTCCTTGGTAACCTCTTGGACCTGGCCCAAGCTCTGTGGCTCTCTGAGCACATCCGTGCCAGGGTACATTCTGCTCACCAGCCTATCGAGCCCCTCTCGTTCAAGAGACAGGTCCTTACCGGACTTTAAGGCCTCCAGGCTCGCCAAAGCCTTGGCGATATGGACCGACCCCTTAGCACCTGCCTTTACTTGCCTTCCCAACACATACTTGAGGAATTCCAAGGCAGCCTGAACATCTTTAGCCCCCGATACACTGATTTCGGTCCACTCTAGCGACTGACCCATCACCGGTTCGCTAAGAGAGTGCTCCTTCATGAAAGCATCAACACTGCCATCAGCTGTCTGCCATTGGGAAGCAAGAACATGGCTGGCGACGGTTGCATGAGCCGCACTTCGAGCTCTCAATGCTCCTCCTGGCCACCGTATACGTACACGATAGCTCCCAGGCTCTCCCGCCGACTGCACCACTCGTACCTTCACTCCAGTGTCCAAGCGGGTACTGTAGACTCCGTCGTGTTTGCCTATATCGAGTACATGAGGTGTTGAGCTCTCATCATCCTCCAATAGGCGATGACAGTGCAAGGCCAGAGGCTGAGGCCTTGGTCCCTTCTCCATAGAACCCTGACGTAGGGCCTCTAGAATGGCGGCTTTCGTCCAGCCCTTGCCAGTTGCATAAACCCTGAGCCTCTCGTCCAACAGACCACCGAAAACTCGACGTGCCCCCTCCATCACTTCCATCGGGTTCACTTCCTTCACGGTCTCCTTGGCCAGTCCAGTCGCGTCCTCAGGGGCCACTGGCGTATGACCCAGTAACAGGAGATCCATCAGCATCTGTAGCTGCTCATCACTACTAGCATCTTCCATATCAGCCAACCCCTTCACATAATCCTCCCCAAAAACTCTCACTTCCTCCCTTGCCAATGGACTAGAGCACACATCAGCTACGATCCTGGCCGCCTCTCTCACGCCGAGCTTGGCTCCTTCCACTGTCGTACCACCAATCCTTATGCTACTCACTCTACAGCCCTCCCGAATGCTGTCCACACAGTCGGCCTCGGCCACGACCGGGACCCCCATACCCCTGCTCGCCCTCTGAAGTCTCGAAGCTACCGCTCGTATAGCGATGTCCTCTGCTACATACTTCCTCATGTCGGCCAAAGTCCGCAATGGATGCACTGGCTGCTTAGACATCAACGTTATGCGACCCACAGCAGAATTCTGCGACTGGGAGTCTATGCGAATAGTCGGAGCCTTAGGATGCCACTCATGGTACACGGGCTTACGTAAAGCAGCAACACCTGCTTCGACAGCTTGAAATTTCCGATCGATTTCAGAAATGACTTCCTCCTCTCGCCCGTTAAGATCCCCAACGATGAACAATGTGCTATTGGATGGTCTGAACCACTTCTTGTAGAAGTCTTTCACTTGTCCCACCGTCCATCCCTGTACTAGGGTAGAGCTCCCAATAGGAAACTGCGTGCCCAATACATTTTCCCTATGCAGGGCCTCTAAAGCCGCACACTCCTGGGCATAATCATGCGTATCCATCTGGGCCTTCTCACGCAGTACCACCAGCCTTTCCCTCTCCACTACATCCCTATTCAACTTCGCCTCAAAGCCAGCCTGTCGCAGTAGTTCAAGAGCAGCCCCAAGGCCTTCCGCGTTAAGGACCACAGTCTCGAAGCTAACATGATGATAATCCGTCTCGGCATTACTCTGTCCTCCCTTCATGGCCAGTGCCGCCCTCTCCTTATCACAGCCCATGAAGGCAGCATGCTCTACAAGATGTGCCATCCCCTGCTCCCCTGCACTCTCATCTCGACTACCAACATGAACCTCCAGTGTTGCATGGACTGACTTCCCACCAACATCCTTATGGTCTTGAATCACATACTGCAAGCCGTTGCTAAGGGTACCGACCCGAACAGCTGGATTCCTAGGTAGAATAGGTGAAGGCTCGACGATCGGAGCAGCTGCCTCAACAGCACTACGACGACTAACCCCGTTGCCCTTCCTACTCCTCATCAGAACTGAAGACGTTAGTACTGCAATACCCACGCCCAAGACCATGAGGGAGATTGGATAGCCATAGGATGTTCTCTTCGAGCCACTGCCATGCTGAGCTCTCAAGTTAGTGGTATACGACCTACTGTAAGTGCTCGCTACGGCGGACTGTGGCACAGACGTTCGAGGTAGCACAAAGAGAACCGGCGTGATAAGCTGGATGGCAGCATAAAGGCAGACCGAGAGGACCAGTAGGCTGTAGACTGGGGACGACCGACTTCGGCGAGTATGGCCACAACGATCCGCTATAATAAGAGTCATGAAAAAACCTGAACGTTTTATGCGGCTCTGGCACTGAACCCAACCATCTGTCACAACTGACAAACTCTGAAACGAAATGCACCTACTACTATGAACGAATCTTAGGCTGATACTGATGATAAACAGCACCACTACGTGTCATCATGGATCACTTATACAGAATTGACCAGGGCTCTCACTCATTGAGGGAGGCCGTGGAGGACGAGTTCAGAGCAACAGCCTCGCGGAACAGATCTCTATAACAAATAACAATGAGAATGAAAACCCACCCGGGCCTACCGTAGTTCCGCCTTGGCTGCCTTGCCACTTGCCAACGACTTAGCCGAACGACGCAGTCTATCCTTCACTAGAGGATCCGCCCCGTGGTCCAATAGGAGTCGACACACCTCAACGTGGCCAAAGAATGCCGCGTGGTGCTGATGATGATGATAAGGACACTATCTCACGTGTTATATGCAAAGAGAACTCACTAAAGGCGTTTCGCCCCATTTGGTCAAGGCTTTCATGTCAGCCTTGCTCTCCAACAAGATCTTAGCCAACTCCTCATTCCCTTGCCAACAAGCAATCTACTTGACGGTTCGAGAGGCATAAGGCCGTCGGAAGCCATTACATGCAGGGGAGAGAGACCCCTCTTATCCGTCATAGCCAACAGCTCCGAATGCTCCTCACAGAGCTTCTCAACGAATGTCAACCTTCCAACTTCGCACGCCCTAAGACTCCTTATCCTATGCCGCACTCATGCCTCTACTACCAATGCAGAGTTGTCCATTCCTCCTTATCAGTAGCATGGACATCACTGAGCGGCAAGAGCAGCTCAGCAACAGCCAAATGGCCCTGTTTAACAGCCACCATCAATGGTGTCATGCCTTCACTATCCGCTTGGTTGATCTGATGCTCCTAACCATAATAGTGAGCTATTCACAAGTTACCGACGATGATTGACACGATGCCGGCTTCTGCGATATTGACTAAAGTACTATAATAGCGCTTGTAGGCATTCCAAGGCACGAATCACTCTACACCATAGCAGTGCAGTACTACTACAGCGCTAATCAAATAAGCGCCCTTACCTTAGTGCTGATCAAAGCCTTCACTTCGACTACATCGCCCCTGAAGGCAGCCAAATGCAGGTCATTTGGTCTGATCCTAGCATCAGCTGAGGCCCCTGCACCCTCCATAAGCTCGCCCCATACAGCATCCTCCTCCCCATAACCACCCGATGCCGTAGAAGGCGTTGAATCAGCCGTTACTGTCTCCTGCTGGTGCTGCTGGCTATCACCCAACTTAGCCACAATACTACACCCTCCACCGCTCCCCATGGTGAAAGCCTGATCATTCTCAGCAGTCCCCACTGAGTCCGAGGGTCTCGAGATCTATCACCTTATTGGATTCAATGTCACTCAAGACATCCTTCTCGTCCACCATCTCATCCTCCTCGTTGCTTTTACTACTACCGCCAAGCCATCCACAGGAGGTCCCATGATCATTCGGGGACACCATCGCGTGAGACGCGAGGGAGAAGCCTCCAATACCAGCACCACAAATAACCTATACCACCAGGCTCACTACACCCAAAACCGTATCAAAAGCACTACCAAGGCCATCGAAGATCCAGCCTCAGAACGGCTGCCGGTGAGCAACATGTTGGCCGTTAGCCGGTTCCACCTATACATCCTGATCTGCCTCTGTACATATCGGAACCCCGATTGGCGAATGAACATGGGCAAACGACTGCAAGAAGCTGCGGCTGATAACAAGGAAACTATTCCCAACACATGCTTCGCTCCGCTCGAGACCGTTTCATGTTGTGCATTTAGTGGGTGCGAGATTCTGCGGTCACTTAAGCAGATCGTGAGGCCTGTCACATTGGGCCCGGGATACTCTCTGCTATGTGCACGCATGCAGTAGCTCTCCCTGCGTTGAAAGGTTTCACTCGGGCATCCCTTTAGGGCAGAATGAAGATATCTACTACGCATCAACGTGAGTATGTATTCATCTTTAGATCGACGATCGAGCGAGAATCATAGCTACTCATCTCTATACATGCCCTTGAACAAGACTATGGTGCATTCCAGTGCAGAATGGAGACTGCAAGGAGGATTCGGATCAGAAACTCTTAGGAACCCACTGCTCATTCGAGCGTATCACTTTTCGATGTCCTGTTGATAACCAAACACGCATGAAGAGGTCTCAAGTGTGACATAAGAGTAACATGTAAAGATCATGTTTCAAGGTAGCATACACGCACATGTTCTGGTAAATCGGCTATATTCACTCGTCCGTTACCGATGTACATGTCCACATAATCTGATACAGAACAAGCCTCATAAAGGAGTAGGTCGGTGGAGGGTGGTACATCGGTAGCTTCCTCGACAAGGGTCCGGAAGGAACGACATCGCTTGAGCCTCCACGCCCCCAAGGTTGACACCACGCTCCAGCTTGAGATGACCGTCTCCGAACGGGCCTAACAGCCACAGAACATAGCGACGTGATAGGCGGTGCTGCACTACCCCAGTTGGGACCCCAGGAGTTTCTAGCCAGCCAGTAAGGCAGCTCCTTCCCTGTGTTGGAATCGGTCTCAGTTCCCCAACCCACAATGGTTAGAGCATGGTTAGTGTAGCCCCAATGGTCATAACCTGAGGTACTGATGTTGTGATACATCCAGCAAGCACATGCGGAGCCCACCAATGGCCTCAACCTTTGCTATCCGGAAACCTCTACCGAACTTCGTGAGGAGAGACTCCAACGACTCGGTGAGAGTCTCCTTATCGGCTTCGAAGGAGCCGTGTATACGCAAGTGTACGTCCCCGTCCGCCTCTGGCTGCTTGCCTGGTGCCACGCTCAGATGCCCTGAAACAGAGCAAGCTCGTCATTCAGGACGACAAGGGCGATGGCAGCTCCTCATGAGCTTCTTACGTAGCAGAGCCTCGTCCTTTTCAGTAAGGAGTACATTATGATCTCGCAGAGGAACATGGTTAAGCACTTCCATGAAGCCCTTAGGGGCATTAGCCACATAAATTTCAACCTGTCACGAAATGCTGTATACCATCCAACCTCCCTATTTCGCCTACTAGATCCATTGTGCTCCCGTCAAACTCCACGTGATGAACTCCATGTGATACTACATCATTAAAGAGTGTGGGATTGAGACCATTAGGGGCCTCTATCGCCACTTGCATCGGTCCATGCCTGAGCTCACAGCCTTCCACTAGTATCTCTCCAGCATGCTTACACATAGACATGCTGCATCATCCTCGCCATGCTACAACGACCATAGAATCCCCCTGAGAAAGCCCCACATACACGGTGTTCATAATACTGGTACACCATCCCTACAGCAGTACTCTACCTTTATAGGTGCCTTCTTTGACATACCACACTTTCGTCTCATCATTGAAACACTCGGCTTTGCATCTACCATCGCCGGACACGTATCTTAGAACCGCAATCTCAACCGTGTAGGACAACAGTGCCCTACGGCATGCATCGCTCTGTTGTTATACCCGTTACGAGTAGGTCGAAACCGACTGAACCTAGCGTACTACACTTCCACAGTGCTCTACTACAATCACTCGAGGCCTACCAGGGAACCCTCCATTGCAGGCTTGAGCAGTATAGCTACACGAAATAATCTGAAAGGAGGCAGACGATGCCCCGTCCATGATGGGCCACCATTTTACCACTTACTCCTTGAGGAGAAAGTTCAAAGTCATCTGGTATGGGGATTCCCATCGCCTTGAAGTCCTTGTATATAGCGCCTTGTACAGCAGCCGCAATAGCCATAGCATAGCACCCCCCACAGGGACCTTGGCTCCTCACTGGACCTGCACAAATCTCTCCAAAAAAGCTCATCTCTCGAGCCTTCGATTACTGCCGTAATCTCCGTAATGGTCCCTGAAGTCGTAGGATGCTCGTACGTCCTCAGGAAGGGTTGCAAGGATATTATCAGCTTCGAATAATTCCTCCGTTTGGCACAAGTTCAAGTGCCGATCCGAGCGCTGACACCATCCATAAAACTCAAATTCCACCACGATGATCCTCACCTCCGAGGGGTTCTCCTGTATCCCATCCGGCATGCCTTGAGTAATAGGGCCATCCAATCTCTCAGGAGATTGCTCTGGGCTATACAGATTATACCTACGATACAGAAGCTCAGGATCACTGCAGCCTTGCCGGCCTCACCGTTTCCCCTTCATTCCTGTATAGCCCAGTTGTCGTTGGCTCTCGACCTGACCGGAAACACATCCCCTCAACAAGACTCGCAGCTGCTCCTACCCCCTTCACATGAGGCTGGACCTCCCCCACGTCCCTCATAGGCTCCATTACAGCGAACTCCGGCGCTAATATCTTAGTCGCATGCCCAGAGCCGCCCTCCCTATGAGACACTGCCAAGCTGTGTACCTAAGACACCATCAGCAGCAATATGAATCCCCAATTCTCTAACCCTCCTAACCTTATTGGCCTCCTCTGCGTCGACTTTCCTCGCCCAAGCACAGCCCTGCTTAGACCCGTCAATCGCGGACCAGAAGCCAACAAGCGTTCGGCCGCAGTAGGAAACATATCCCTCTGTTGTACCATCCCTGACATCTCAATCAAGGCAGGTAATTATCATCCGCACGATCAGCCGCTTACGGCGACTCAGCGTCTTCAACTCCACCGCATTCCCTCTCCCCTGTACACCGGTAGTGAACGAACAAATCTATCTTCCTCGGGACTAGACAGGGACACAGAACTAGAGTCTAGTCAGAGGCGAGTGTGTTCTGTCTAGTTACTAGAAAAGGCGCTTACTGTCATTAGATCTAGGGTGGTGGAAGTTATCAAGTACTATGAACTCGTCGTAGCCCATGGTCCAATGCCCCAACTCCAGTGTGCTATCATCCGCATCCATCACCTGAAACCCGACTGCTAGAGGACATCCAATAGCCATAAGCCCACCATCAAGTGGTGAGCATCCTTCTCCCCATAAATGTCTTCCATCTTCTGTGACAGGGACAGTCCAATCTCGATTGGCTCCCCATCAACGGACATGCCTATACAGACTGTCACACAAGTACTACAACTACCCCTACCAAGGATCTCATTGAAGTCCTCACTAGTCGGCCTTTCCCGCCGCATAAGTTCATCGATCTGAGATCAACTACTCTGCACAACCGAACGAGTCACCAGTACCTTCTGGCCCACAGCCAGATTGCCTTTGTTAGAATTAATAGCTGTATATCCGCAAAAGTTGCCGCCAGTATCAGCCCTCCAGTCAGGCACTGGGCCCTTCAAGAAATACAGTCGCCACTTGCCTAACACAGCGCGGACCATTGATCCTACTACCACTACGGCTCGAGAGACGACCTTGCGAGTCCTCACGAGTACAATGGCTCGGCAGATCGGCCACTACTCGTTTCACTACAACTGCTGTTGCAATGGCAGAAGCCAACCTTCGCATTATCAGGGCAGAGTAACTTTCACTGACGCTCCCTTCAGGGGACCCTTCACGCCCTCTAATGATTAGGTCTCACCCAGGCGCCACCGTACTCTATTGGGAACACAAGGACCCTTGATAAGATGAGCACTATACTGCTGTATAACATGCTTGCATGGGCTGAGGTAACGATGATATCGACCTCCTCGTCTCGAGGAGGTGACGGTCCATATGCTCTGGCACGAGTATGATAGCGCACATCCCACACGACAGTAACTCGGGGCTTACCTCTGAAAGCTCCTCTACAAGGGTCTGGTGTTATAGCAACAGCCTGGGACTCTATACCACCAAAGTTAACCCCTCTGAGTATTTTCACATACCCATCCTTGTTGGGACCTGGAAGGGGTGAGGTTGATGAAGACCCGTCGATTATTGGAAAGAACACTAAGGTACCCCAGTCGGCGCCCCAGGAGTTGCGCGCTATCCAGTAGTCCACCTCCTTGCCAGCCTTGTGATCCATCTCAGATCCCCACCCCACGACCAGCAGCGCATGGTTGGTGTACTCCCACTGATCGATACCTAACATCTCCACCTTGGCCAAGTACAACAACGCATAACTCTTCCTAGAAGTCTATCAGCGACCCCACGGGGCACAAACAAGCTCAAACTATAGACTAGTTATGTTACTCATATTACCGAGGTATTGGGGTTCATGAAGCTGGTATTCCCCCAAGCCGGTTGACTTGAGCACGCGAGTGATCTCTTGTGCCACTTGAGGCCATGAAGTGACCCCTTTCGCTAAGGCCGCCCTTACAATGAGCTCTTGATTAGAGCTCGCTGAAGGTAATACGATAACGATCCCCACCATACAGATCATGGCTAGCGCTTACCCTTTGCTTCAACTTTCTGTATCAACGACGTGTTGCTGACTGTATTACTAATCGTACGGAAGTCGCTGGTGTCCACAAGGAGATGGGCACCCAACACCTCCTTCCCAGGAGAGGGCAATAGGCGTGTGGCCTTCACCCTTACCTTCCCACAAAAACCAATGCGTGCAGAAATCCAACCAACTTGCTCACGGAATTTTCCCCAATCACTGTGTGCTCCGTCCCATAGGGTACCCCAGCATCCAAGCCTGTGATATTGTGAGGTGGTCTGGGGAGCAGGTCGCTCTGTGCATTCACAGCCACCGAGACCGGTCCTTGCCTACAGTACAACCCTGAAGCCACCGCTACCAGGCCCCATCCTACTGCATTATATGCTGCCTCATCTGGGCCTCACTACAACGACCGTAGAAGCCCCCTAAGGAAGAGCCACTCTCAAGTCAGGAGCTGCTGAGCTGAACCTACCAACGTATGCGAAATCCTTGGCATACCACAATTTGGTGGAATCTCTATAGCATGATCGGTCACAAGCTTCGGGAGTCCCCTGATACCTGCCACAACATTGGCTACTCACCGCCAATCAGGCCGGGGAGGGATCAATGCTATGCGTCACGACAATATCGAGTAAGACACGAGTTCGATCAACACACACACAGTGAGGCCCCATCTTACGGCATGCAGGAAGCTCGAGGTACACCCTGGACAGTCAGGTCGAATGCCATGATACCTGCCATAATGCTACTGTCTCACATACCTCTCTCCAACACTCTCACCAGGAAATCCACCGTTGCATCCTTGAGAAGCATAACCGCACGATAAAGCCTAAGCAGAGCTACTGAGTGGCACCACGAGATGGTGACTCTTCCCGCTCACCCCCTGGACGGACAGACCCCAGTCGTCGGGCAGGTCCATCCCAAGAAGTTGGAACTGCCGAGCAATGGCAGTTTGAAGGGCCGACACCGCACCTATCGCATAGCAGCTGCCACATAGCATCTGCTGAGACTCTAGATCTGAGAGCAAGCCCTAGTCAAGAGGTCAAGAGTCGTCATAGTACTTCCAAAATGCGGAACTTCATCACGGAAATCATACGCTTTTGGCAGGGACGCCACGAGGTCGGCATCCTCAATGCTATTAGTACTCATACAGGCCTCGTCTATAGGCTGTGGAGGGTATTTGGTGGGTGCCTGAGTAGCCTAGCTTGGCCACTGCAAAGACGAGCTCTCTGACCTCCTCGGCGTAGCTGTCCTCTGTATACGCGCCATCAGCTAAGACATGATACCTGATCGGAACCACACTAAGGCACTGTTCACTATTACTCCCTGCTTACCTGCCCTTGAACCTAGCATACCCCTCGGTGTCCTCATCTACATTGATCTGAGAGCGCCCAATGGGGAGGAGTTGGCCGCCCCAGCTTACGTCATCTAATAGACCACTACTACCACTCCTCGTCATCAGAGCAATTGCACGAGCCCTGAAGAGAAATGCGTCCAAGGTCAGACCGACACAACCGTTGTTCAGAGAGTAGCTGACACGCGCCTGTAAGCTCGTAAGGCCTCACCGGGTAATGCTAGCCTTCCGCCTTCTCCCCCTCAGGGTTATGAATGCAGACGGTGTCATAGACCCTGGTAGGACTGCCACACTATGGACCTATCGGGCGCTTTAAGGCAACTTGATACCCTCAGAGAGTAGCTCACTTTATTCGCTTCCTCATCACTCTTCTTTCTCATCCAAAAGCATCCTTGCTTCGCTCCGCTACGCGAGCTCCACCATCCTATCAGAGTCTGACCACATAGCGACTCATAGCCCTGAGTGGTGCCGAACCTGCAAACCGCAATCATCGCCCACAATAGCCCAGCCTCCTTACTCATCTTCAAAGTCTGCATAGTCCCCACAATGGCTACTCCCAGAGAGGCAGCGATAGCGGAAGAAGGCCACCAAGTGCCGCGGCACCGCGCTGTTGTCTAAAATCGGAAGGTGAGCTGGGCCTAGGCACGTCGAGCTTACTCAGGACTAGGTTCTTCAGCACGAGACCCTCATCGTAGCCGACAGACCAGCTGCCTCTGTATGCACCGCTAATATCCAATACCTGATACGAGTCCTCTTCCAGACAGTTTGGGGAAGGCCTACCTTCAGATGATGGTCCCGAAGCACACCATCACCACTGACATCCTGGTCCATTGAGAGATTCAAGTCGACGACAGGGCTCGATGACAGAGTCATATCTAAGGCTTGGTGATGCTTATTGCGAGAGGTAGGCAGTAAGGGTACTCAGTATCCTCTCTATACTGTGTGACGTTAGTCCATCGGGGCCACTCAGCGCTGCTGCGTCCATAAGCTGTTGTATCTACCATAGCAGCAGCATGCCAACAGTGAATGATGGAGTGAGTACCTGATTGCCACGGGCTATGTTGGCCTCGTTGCTATTGATGGGAGTATACCCACAGAAGCTGTCCTGCTCTCCCTTACTATTCCAGCTTGGTACAGGGCCTTCCAGTAGATACAGCTGCCACCAGCCTAGGAAACACTAGCAATACGTGAGTGGTTAGGCTCATTGCTAACCTTGAACATCTTCAATGGTGCAGTGCAAAGGGAGATCAGCAAGTCCTACGAGGAGGATAGCAAATACGATCAAGTTGACCATTGCAGATCGAGGGGATACCGAGGCCAATGGGCCAGTGGGAAAATGAATTAAAGAGGGTAATGGCTGTGATGACGGTGTTCGAAGTGTGGATCATTGTTGGCAGTCCGCTTTTACTGATCGCCTCCTACCCCAGTAGCCTGACTTTGGAGTAGTCCTCGGCATCAAAGCTGAAATTGGATGCATCTCCAAGTCACACTGTTAAAATCACTTGGAAGGTCGTCTTATTGCGATGGGAAGTGTAGAGACGATTTCGATCATATTGTTGGGCGCGCGCTTTTCATCATGCGCTTATATTGAGTGGAGCGAAATGTTTTTGAGCGCATGTTCACGAAAACATCATCGAAGGCCGGGACAGACTTCATTCAGCCTTAGGCCACAACGGTACCAGGAGTGTTGGGTTGAGTGCTGGTCAGAAGTATATATTGGCTGCAGTAGTCCTTACTCTAATAGTATCCAACCGTTGTATGGTAGGAGCAACTGAGGAGACAGGCCGTGCTCCGTTGAAGGTGCCCCGAGTCCAAAAGCCATCCCTTTGCCCAATAATAACACGTATCATAGTCCTTTTCATAGCCCTCACCATCAGTCTAGGAACAGCCTGTACTTGGTGGTCATGGGGGTGAGCCTCTAGCACTAGCCACCATACCCTCCTGTACCACATTAGATACTCATGGGTAGTCGAGGAAAGCATTGGCATATACCCAATATACGAATGTCCACAGTTAGCTCACACCTTTGCCGCGAGCCTAGAGGTCCCAGACGGCCCTCGTTGCCAGGTCTGTACACAAGCCATTTCCCTTGATCTGATCACAACTCTGTAGGTCTCCCTTCCTTACAGAACCGCTGCTGTGGCCATCATAGCAGAGAACGGTTTCGCGGTGTCTGAGAACTCCAACTTGAATGAACGGTGAGCCCCCTCTACTGTCGAGCCAGTATGCTTAGCGTTCAGTCGTGGCAAGTGCGTGATACCGTCTAGAGCCCATCACGAGACCGACATTGTTTGTTACTCACTAGATTACTGCGGCAACACATGCCATGTATCGGGCTCATCACGGAGGTGTGCTCAAATACATCTCGATCTTACATCATTGTCCGCTATCAGATGCCCTGACCCCTCGAGCCTCGATGATGATGAGGCCTACGGTGCTGTACCACTCCAGTGTGATATCCTTGTTGGTCGTAGGACAGACCACTCACCTGTGGTGGTTACCATGAACTGTGCTGATATCCTCGATGGCTCTTACTGTACGGCCTTCCTCCCCCTCTAGTTGGCACGACGTTTCTCCCTAGGTAACAATGACTACAGTGTATCCCCTTCCAACATAGTGGCGATGAGAGGCCTCATCGCTGGTGTGGTCCTTATTGTCATCTTCTGGTTCGTGGCTGAGCTCATACTCCGTCATGTCGACATCAACCTCCGCAAGGAGAAGGCGGAGGGTCTGGCCAAGATGGCTGTTGAGCTCCCTGAGAAGCGAGCGTGAGACGGAAGGTTTCCAAACGGCCATTATAACCAGCATGTGTGGCAGGTACCTGAGAGCTCAGATAGAGTTGAGATGGGATGAGGAGGCACAGCTAGCATACAAGGCCGATAGTGATACCTCCTCTATATCTGGCACAGCGTAACGCCATCTCTGGTCCTCAATTCGGCTGCCTTCGTAATGGTAGATACGATCTAAGTTCCGTCTACAGTCACCAGATGGGGTCTGCTGCTCCTACTGCCACTACTGCTATCACTCCTAGAGCGACACCGAGGAGCTTTGCGGGTAGACCGGCACATGCGATGGTGGATAGTGCTGCCTTCAGCCTTCTCGCCGGTCCCTCACACGTCATCATCTGGTCATCACTCATCGACACCCCTCGGCTCAGGACCGTATGACAGCGTCGGTGGGAGCGCTGGGCTGATGGACAGCAAAGTGTAGGTGCATGCACTATGGGATTCATCCCAGTATGGTCCGTATAGGAGATCACAGCTACGATCAAGAGACCCTAGGAAGCGGTATGAGAGTAACGCTTGGAGGAGGAGACTGAGGCAGTGGAAGGAACTGAGGGAACAGAAGCTGACCACCTTCCTCACCAAGCAACGCTTCCGGACCATCCTTCTGAACATATTCTTCCTATTACTTATAATTATTACGCTCTACCTGATAATATACTTCTCACCACAACAGATGAAGAGCAAACGAACGGTACGTCTATCAGTGTGGTCCCCACAGTAGACGCATCTAGTCTTGACTTCAGGCATTGGATGCTCTCTTTGGGAACATATCGATTTGGCGTATGTCGTCATGGTTGGACCTCCTTATTTTTATTGACGTTATATTGGACACCTTCCTCTTCCTCATAGCCTGCTGTGTGGTGAAGTGGCCAAGAGCGCCGGTCTTCAGTCGACACCTTCAGGTGGGCTCATTGTCATCATTTGTGAAGATGAGTATTCTGTCAGGTTGCTATGAAGATAGCAGTCGATGAAGTAGCTAACGAAGGGTTGGAGGAGGGCCGTGGATACGAGGAAGACCACGCCTCCCCAATGGGTATTCATAACGTTGGTGACGAGGCGGTGGACCTCAATATCAGTCGCGACAGCAGCGAGGATACGGTCACGGCTGACTTTGTACGTCCGAGCACGGCCACGATGATGTTGACCATAGGGAGCTACTCTTCCCTTTTCAGGTTATGAACCAATCAATGACCAGAGATTGCTGCCTGATGGTCGCCTGCCATATGTCCACGATGACAGCGGAGCGTTTCGATACCTTTACTACCACACTACGATCAGCTATGATGGTGTTCCCTCCTGGTCACATCTTTGTCTGTGACAACGGGCCAAGCCTCTGCCCACAGGACCATACACAGTGGGCTGTTCAGCAGGTGAGCAGTTGGTGGAGACCGCCGTGTTAGGTTGTATGTTAGGTCCACCCTGATATCAATTACTTATACATTCCTGAAGGTAACAAGACCTTCGCCTTCTACTGGTGCAACAAGTACTGGATACCATTCCTCTCACGGTATTCTAGAGTTAAGGACTTTAGGTAGGCTTAGCGATAGCGCAGTGGAAGAGGGTTGCCTCGTCAGGTTTGCAGTCATCATTGATGATGATGTCCCCCTGCCTCCAGATCTTCATATCCCTCAGGAGCATCTTGAAAAGGACCATAGCATAAAAGCTGTGGGGCATTGGGTTCCTTCATACGTCCGTGAGAAGCCTTGGTCAGGTACACTTCCCGATCACAGCTGCATCGCCAGATGGGCGGCCGAACCTTCTGGTTAGGTGTCAAGATGTGGAGTATAAGATGGCTGCAGTCCACAAGTTACTACAGGCTACCATGTCTAGGTAGTAGCAGCAGCAGGTCTATGATATGGCTCGAGAGTTTGCCAGGTGTTTGTCATGTCATGGTGCCATCGCCCTTTGGGACCGAGAAGCTCTAGATGAGGTTTTCTATGAGCATGATACGGTCTTCAATGGTGAGGATATGTAAGTATAAGATGGTCTTCATCGATACCTAAACCGTTGTACAGGTACATGGGGCTATCACTGCTCCGTAAAAGGGACAACTCTAAGATCATATCATGTGCTCAAGCCGTCGTTCCTACTTATGCACCTGATTCCTGGACGGTACTGCCTACTACTACTATCACCGATGCTATTGTGATACTGCTGGCTTAGGTATTGTTCCGTCAACGTGTGAAGTCATGGGAATTAACGTCTCACAAGAAGACATTCTCATATTTGTTTGAAGTATTCCATCCTGCATCATTCTGTCATGTCGCTAGTCTAGCGTTGAAGCCGTACTTCATGCAGGAGGTCTGTCATCATCATCATCATCGCTACTATGATGACGTTTATCAGTTACTGGCAATCGTTCTCGATTGGCTCCGAGTGTTCCTCCTTTGTGGCCTACTACTAAGAGACTGGGTCGGTCTGTTGATGATGACCATGGTCTTCACGGCCCTTCTCTATTTCGTCGTCGCTGTATTCCAAATCGTCGTGCTGCGTGAGAGGAAGGAGCTACGTAGTACACTGTGCACGTAAGCACCATCCCTCATCAGGCAGCCATCGGGGCACACCGCATTGTGGAGGTTGTAGGTGCATAACCTTCCCTTGGTATCGTCTAAGTGGATTACTCTTCCGACTTGGAGCACTCTGCCAGAATTTACTCGTCTATAGTCATGAACGCACCAACATTAAAATTGGTAGGCCTCAGACGCTGATATGAGGTTCCTGGGCGTGCATATGCTTGCTGATGACAGTGGGAGGGGGGATTCTGAGGAAGTTTGGCAAAATTCTCGTCGAGATTTGTATATCGCTGCACTAGCTGGTGTTTTGAATTTATAGTGTAGTGAGGAAACTCCCGAGCTCGGCTGAGGGAACCAGACATGCACAAGATCTTCCCTCCGCACTAGCAGGACTTTGTCTGTTGCATCCTAAGGATTATGGGTTGTGAAGTCAGCGGTTTTACGTTCCTTGGTCATCGCTTTCATGGCTAGGTTACTGTCGTTGTCAGGTGTTCGAGAGGATGAGATAAGGGACATCCCCCCATGCCCCCCTCATCCTGATGTCGATTGGTTCACAGTGTGGGTACAGAGTGAGCCCGTTGAGAAGCCTCTTACGGCATCTCATGCCCTGCCTAGTGAGCATGTCCGTCATCCTTCTATCACACACCTTTCGATATTTAGGATCTCGTCGAGGCGCAGCAGCCTCTCCGAGCACAGTGGCATCATCTCCTGCATCACTACTACGCTCAGGAGTGCTCACTGGCCCATACAATAATCACCACTATCATTATCAACAACAACAACAACAGTATCATGGTCACTACGTCGTGAGAGACTAGAATGCTGGTTATCCCCAGTAATTCCCAAGTTGTCTCTCTGTGTCCACTACCCCATGACTAAGTAATGACTAGAGTTATTGTCATCACAACAACAGTAGTGGCAAATGTCGTCTACAATTCTGTGCATGAGTGCATGTTCTCGTATTGTATATCAAATGATGGATAAGTCGAATCTATTTTTGTTATCTACTCTCTATTTTTGTCGTTTCGTCTTTGTATCGGAATCGTTTGTCATAATCGAAGAAATTATCATCACCACCAGCAGTAGAAGCAGCAGCAGCAAACTGCAGTATCGTCAGCTTAGTGTCTTCCTAGTTACCATCGTCCACTCGTCCTCTTGACTCGTACATCTCGTAAATGAAATCCGCCTCTTTTTCATCGCCATGGATGATGCACCAGTTTCGTGCTGCTTGGACCCCTGTCTCGTTGTTAAGCTCGCCCTGTGGTTTAGCCTTTGCCTGTATTGCTATGTTCTGGCACCGTCTGGGTTGCATTGGTGCGTGTACAGGTGTCCTCATCGACGCCTTTGGTGCTCATGGCCTTCGCTCTAAGCCTAACATCACACCACGCGATATCGAGGTACTGTACAAAAACAAGGAAGCTATCAGTTTTCACTCGTCGCAATAGGTATGGCAAACGGCAGCTAGGTACCAAATACTGAGTAGTATTGGTATCATCATTGCTGCTAACATCAATAGAAGGCCGGGAATGAACTATCCTGCTCTACTCCTCTCACTGGGCACCCTCTTCTTCTCAGCTAGTCTTTACGGTAAGGCCTCCATCCATCATCGTGCTGGGCAAGTCATGTTCTCTCTTTGTTCAGCCTTAGTGCTCACTGGTGTCAAGCGCTTAGGGGTTGTCGCCCCTGTAGGAGGGCTTCTAATGGCCGCTGGATGGTTTGCCATGGCATTCTGAGTGGTTTCTGTGGGATGCTATTCTTGAGTTTATCAGTTGTTAGTTCAATTCGTTGGGGAGATGAACCTAAGACCGAGCAGCTGTACGAGCACACAAGCTCACTGTCCCTTGTTGTTAGTATTATGGATCGTCCATTCAATCCGTCTTCATCGTCTCTGCGCTATGGTGATCCTTCTCAGTACTATGGTTCCGTTTGGGCTGTCTAGGAGCCTGCATTGGTGTATTC